AAAAAAAAAAAAGACTCTCAACAGGTGAGTATGTATTAGGGTAGAATTCTGTGGGGACAGTGGAATGCAGATGGGAGTTCAAGGGGGAAAAGGAATGATGAAATTTTGTAGTTATAGAACAACTTATGTACTTTTAAAATGGAAATAGTGGGAATCAAATCAACACGGTGTTTATATTCCAACGGATATATGCAAAGGCGTAACGTCCCAATTTTACTCAAAACTGTCATTTACAGTGCCCTAGAAGTTGCGTCCTCTGCAACCATTTTTACCGGCACTTAAATCTTATCTTCGATACCACCCGAAGAATCTTCCGTCGGCACCGCAGCTGACAACGCGTAGGCGCCGGCGCTGCCCGCGCGGCGGCTGGGCGGCCCAACAGGCACCGGCCCACGGCCCTCCCCGGGGTCCCGCGGTCCGCGGCGCTCAGCCCGGGCAGCGAGAACGCAGGGCCCCCTCCGCCACGGAGAAGCAGGAGAAAGCCCCGTCCGAGGCAGGCGCTCCGCAGCCGACTGCGAGCCGCTCCGGACAGCCGCGCGTTCCTGGACAGCCGACCCAGCGCGGGTTTCCCGACCTAAGGCGAGTAGTCGAGTGAGTGACGTCACCTCACGACGCGCAGCGCCCTCGCCCTGCCCTGCGCCCCAGCAGAGCTCGCGCGCGGGGCCCGCCAAAGGTTCCTGCGGTGTGGAATCAAATGCTTCTCCCACAGGTGAATACAAAGCTATACTATACTATGTTCCGATATGCTCTTTGGTCCACACCGCACTGACAGGAGCGTCCAACAACGCAAGGCGAAACAGGCTACAGAAGTGCCTACGGCTCTCACCACTAGGCACGAACCCGCACCCCTCCATCCGGGCGCCTCATGGACGCCGGTGGGAGCGCGCACGCCGGGGGTCACGTGCCAGGCGCGCCCCCGCTGCGGCGCGCCCGGGCGGAAGTGAGGTCGGCGGCTCCAGTGGCTGCGCAGCGTCGGCGGGGAGCGCGGGCTGCAGAGAGTCGGGCCGGGCTGAGCCGAGCGAGCGGAGCGCGGCGCCCGGGAGGCGGCAGAGACGCGGGGCTTCGTGGGTCAGCCCGGCATCGGATCAGCGTCCGCAGCGCTCGCCCCTCGTCTCGCCCCAGGCCGAGCCCGCCGCTGGCAGGCGTGAGCTGTTGCTGAGGCCCAGGCGCCGCGGCGCGGTGAGCGGGGGCGAGCTGGCGGCCGGAAGTGCGGCGCTTTGTGCGGCCGGCTCGGGGCGGCGCCAAGGTCGGGCCCGCAGCTCGGGGTCGCTGGCGCCGGGCGGGGCCCGGGCCGCGCTTTGTTCCGCGGCGGGGCCTGGCCGGCGGGGGAACAAGGGGCGGAGCTAAGCGCGGCCGGGAGGTGCGGGCAGGTGCGTCGGGGCGACCCAGGGCTGCAGCCCAGGTGGCCGACGAAGGGCGGTTCATGGCACAGAATGTTCCTTCGGCCTTTTAAAGGTCGGAGTTAGAGCTGATCAGGACAGTGTTTTAGTATGACAACCGGGAAGCACTGAGTTGTGATTATAATCATTTCGAATGTATGACTAACTACTCAGTCTACCCACCAAAGTAAAAATTACTCCTCTTGCCTGGCCGAAACTGCGCAGCCTCCCCCCAGCTAGAAAGGCATGATTTAAATTAGGCTTTTAAGATTTTCTTCAGAAAGGACGTGTCATGACACAGCCTGGGTTAACTTTAAAAAAGAGTGCACCTTTACTTCGTGTCCACAAATAGGGTCTTTCTCCTTTGTGGTGCATGTGAACGTTAACTGTGCATCTAATGGTTTGTATTAGTTAATGTTTACTCATTGAAGTCTAACATAAAAGTATTTTGGACTGTTTTGGCATGCAAGAAAGCTTTTTTTTTTTTTTTTTTTTTGGAGACAGAGTCTCACTGTGTTGCCCGGGCTAGAG